TACATTACTGTGGCACTTTTTGAGGATTCTGTCTCAAGAATTGCACAGAAAATTCAGAAATATACCTTTGAATTGAATATGAAGAGAAGCCCATGCCCTGCACCTCATCCCTTGACACAGGCTACGGCAGCACAAGATATAAAATAAAAAGAAATTAAATAAGTAGTATAAAAATGCAGTGCCATATTTCCAGAAACATTCACTCTCCAGCTTCCACAATTCATATATCCACATTCTCTTTCCTTTCCTCCAACCTTCCCAGTCCAGGATCAGCTCCACATCTCTCTCACACTCACTCCTCTCCACTGCTTTTTTCCTCCCACCCCCTCCATTTTATGTTTCTTCCATCAAATCCTACGTTCTGCCTCTCTCCTCCAAAGCTCCTCATACATTTCCTTTCTTTCACATAAGTAATTTCTTAACAACTGCATTTTAGTCTCCAACTAAGCAAGGATACAAAGTTACAAATATAAGGAGCATATTTTTATTTCTTTCTTAGAAACTGGAAGCCATCAAAACTAACCTGACACTAGTTTTCAACACCTTCTGCTCTAAAACCTCGGCCTAGAGGTGACAAGTGTAAAGCCAAACAAAATCAGTTTCCTCATCCATCTATAGCTGTTTCTAATAGACTTGCTTTCTGATTTTTAATGCATTAAATGGCAAAATAAATAGGAACTTCTAACAGCAAATACATTCTATGAAAAAAATACCCTAGTCTATGCACATTTTTTGGTACCAATTGAACAATACTGGCTTAGAAACTAATATATTTTAAATGATGCAACTTCACTGTGCAAAGATATTACATCAATATCAAAGTGCTTATTTCCTCAATTTTGGATACAACTCCCTGAATAAAATACAGATGTCTGCAGTCTGGGTTACATGTAAACAGCACCTATACAAATAGGTGTTAAAGAGTCTCCAATTTGCTGAAAATAAATAATATTGACAACAATAACGAAGTCTAATAAAGACTATTTCTTCACATGCTTTAGGTTTATAAATGCCCTTTTTTTGGTGAGGCATCCTGTCATCATTCCGTGAAAATGTTGTATTTGGGTGCATGTAAATCCTACAGAATTTTTTTCTCTTCTTCATCCAAAAATTGCCTTGGCCTACCTCAGTGCCACAGTCAGTTGCACTCACAATGAGAGTTGTGCTAATCCTCAGGCAGAGAACATGGCCAGAGCACAGTTCTTGTTGCATTTCAGATCTATTTACTCCCAGGTTCACAAAATCAAGGTTATGATATGTAATGACATTGTGATCTTCTCTTCAGGGGCAGCAATAACAGAGTACACAGCTAACAAAACCTGTCAGATACCTGCCATCAAATATTTCTGCTATTAACAATTATAAAAATTGAATTTAAAGAAAATCCTTATGATTCACTAGCAATTTCCTGGCTGAAATAATAATGCCCACAGTCTTAACCACTGTGCAGAATGTGAATTACTCTGCAGTAAAGATTGTCAGTAGAAACCCTACACCCTGAGTGCAGTTGACATCGGTATCACTGAAGTATCACTGAAACACTCAACATATAAAAGCACTCCAACTGGTGCTTGTGCTGTAGCATTTCCCCGGGACTCTCGATTCCCAGTTTTGTAAAATGCTTAGTAGGCATTTAAGACCATCATCCAATTGTTGGGGTAGTTTGAGAAGCAAGAAGCATCATACCAAGGACTCAGACAAGAAGTCCAAGTCTGCTGCCTTCAGCAAGGATGAAAGTTTCCTGTCTCCTGCCCATGGAATTCTCATCCCATTATGATATGCTGCTTCTCCGCTGAAGAGGGGCTTTTCTTTGTGAAAGATCCTCACTGTCACTTTCACAGTTTCTCTGAAATAGAAAGGCCACAAAGTCTCTCACGTAAATGAGATACCATGCTCTTAAACATGTTGTTCCAATATTATCATTATCATCTACTGAGAAGAACAGAGCTAATAGAGCCCTTAAAGTTTCACTTCAGAAGGTCACAGGCAGTGCCAGGGTCCCCCACCCTCCATCACAGACGTGGGCACAAGGGCAGTGAGCTCTCCTGCAACTGCTCAGATCTCAGTCACACCCCATGGTCACCGCCTGGGATCCAGACTTCATCTGCAGGCTCCTTGCTGCTCCTTTACACAATAATGTGCTTAGCCCCTAGAAGGTCTAGCAAGTGACTGGCTCTCCCTGCACAAGATTCTTGTCACAGTAACAGAACATACAGCAGCATTAAAGACACAAATGATGCCGTGGTCCCCTCTGGTTTCCCACTCCAAGCCACTGCTGTCCTGTTGGGCTGTGCATCCATGTAAGGACAGCAAAAATGACTGCACAGTAAGACCGGTTCTTCTCTTCTTCCTGTGTGAGGAATGCACCTACCGAATTCTCATCTTGTGTCAGCACCTTCTTCACCAGCGAGCGCTTTAAGTGGTTGCACAGTGAAACAATGCGGTACGAAAGCTGTGCAGAGAGGGAGGAAAACCAATTTGATCACACATACCCCGTGCAGACATATCCAAACGCATTTCATTCCTTTACTGCCTATTACAATTTCACATTCAAGCTCTATCTTGCCCTCTGATCCCATCAGGCTTGGGAAGCCACATGTGAGAAGCATTAAAGGCTCGTTGTCATACCTTCCATCGCCTTCTAGCATATTGCCTTTTGAAGTTTGCCATGTTAACAACAGATGATTTCCGAACCAAAGCCTGTTGCTTGTCCGTGGGCTGGAAGATAAAAGAGCAATTTTATTCTTCAGCTCCCTTTGGTGCAAAAAATATGCAAGATACCTCATGTGCACTGGAGCTGGCTGAAAGAAAGCTGGGGAAGCTACAGATTCATACAGGTAAGAGCAGAAGAAAAAGAATTAAATCTAGCCCACTCTGGGCCTAGACAGGACCCTTTTAATCGCAAATTAAATCCTAAAACTAGTGGGTGCTAAGGCTATGCTTTCACTTTATAAAGTTGCTAAGATGCTTCTCGTGCACACCTGCCCCATCTCCCTTTTCTCTGGATGACATCACTCTAATAAAATGGAACAAAGGTAGCTGTCATGTAGTATTAGTGATAAGGATACATGCTATCTCAAAAAACTTCAGCTTTGTCCTTTAAACATAGCCAGAGTATGAGAGCACAAGGCATTGACACCCAGGTAATAAAATAATTGCAATATCTGACGATTGAAAAATAGGAATAAAGAAGACTATAGATCGGAATTCAGACATGTGCCTAGCGCTTTGGAGGTCAACCTGGTGTTAAGGAACAAATGTTCCACAAATCCTGACACAGTCCTTCTGAAAATGAAGCACATTTCAATTCCAAAAGTACTTAAAACATTTGCATGAACCTTAAAACCAAATCTGACAGATTGCAAGAAAGAAATTGTTCAAAACCAGATCAGACATGAGTGAAAAGAGAAAGGCCAGGAATCAGCCCTTCAAAGAGTATGGAGTGACAACCATTCCAGCCGTTCTGATCTGCGTACGTAGGAGGTGGCTAACACAGAAATATTTGTACTGAACTGGACTGGAATGCAGCCAAGCCATGCACCTGAAACAGCAAGAGTACCAAAGGAGAGTGGAAAACACATCAGTTTAAACATCTTTTTCAGCAAAATAATTTAAAATGTTTGAGACAACAAATTCACTCTTTTCATAAAATGCTGTAGGTTTAGCATTTTTGCAGGTATCTCAGCAACACTTCAAGGAGCCAAGGTATCAGCTGGGCCCCCTTCTCATTGAGATGTACACACCATTTACATTCAACAGAACTGCAACAGTTAAGGATTAAATATAATTTCCTCAAGCTGCAAACAGCCAGCTTGGTGCAACAGGCGAGCAGAAATCAATTTGAAGTGGAAAAAACGTCACTGGCTAAATGTCAGCTGTACAATCATTATGAAAAATTTCCCAGTGCCCTTTCAGCAACAGAACAATTGCTGACTCTAAATAACTCACTTTACTGCCGACTGCTAATAACCGACTCTTCATGTTAAGTACCCTGCAACCTACTGACCTTGTCATTCTCTCAAATCATCAGGATCTCGTGTCAAAAGCAGTGCATGATTAGCTTCAAGGATGGAGTCACAACAACACTGCCCTCACCCAAACATGCTCAGGAACAAGGTGGCCTCATTTAGTGCTCCTTCTCATCATGCCAGTGCATTTGTTCATAAAGAAAATCGATATGAACAAAGAATATGTGATCATGGCTGAGGGTAGGCAGACTCTCCTTCTTGAGAGTGGTTTCTGCAAATTCTAACTCCCACTAGGCTTTAAGTTACATTTTAGGAATTAAGACTCTCTCCCCCTGACAATAAAATTCTGTGTTCCAGTTCTCCTGGACAGTTTTTAATGGGTCTTCCAGCTCAAAGGAACTTGCAGAAGCATTCTGAAACAATAAAAAAATGGACACATGCAAAATGCTCAATACTATTTGTCACAGTAGAGCCCAATTCTCTGCAGCCATCAGCGCCAGCTTTCCGGGGTCACATCCTGGCTGTCTACACTATAGAAGCTTTTGAAAATTTCACATATTGTGCGAAGAACAATGCCACAGAGATCACATACAGTCTCCATCCTCCTTCAAGTACAATGATGGGAGCAACAATATTCCAAGTGAGTAACTGTTTTCACAATTCTGAATTTGCATCAGCCTCTGCACTTCTTTGTGAGAACAGGGCAGTAAATGGGTCCACTGTACTCTGCAAAGATTAGATGAGAGTATGCTTTTATCTTTTTATCTCAAAGTAGGAAACATTATTCTTAATCATGTTAGGAAGAACAACAATTCAGCTTATTTAGGTCATTAACTTCTCTGCAAAAGGAGGAGGGAGGAGGGGCAGTGAAAGATATACTCTAATATATATATATGTATGTAAAGATTCACTCTAGCTGGACTTGAGCTATTATCTCACTGATTCTTGTAGTTGCACAACAGTCACCATGCAGCAAATGCTCACAGAAACTTGGCATCTTTTTCAGTCACTAACCATCAGGGAACAACTGCATCCTGCATAAATAACTATTTATTGTGTTCAAAAACGAGATTGGTACATCTGTGCATATTAATACAGTATCATCAAACTACTTCTTTCAAATACAAGACAGCATGGCATGATTCATGGCTGGGTTTTCTTTTACTTTTTAAAATCTAAGGAAAAAAAAATCTTTATAGCAAGAACACTAGTCTCAAATGTCACACCACAGATTAAGTTAGTTGTAGCTTTGTAATCTTCTTCACTGTAGAAAACAAACCAGATTACTATATTATCACTTAGTCTAAAATTGACATTTGCACTGCAGAATTACACAGTCATTTATTTCATCATTACAAGTTCCCAGTGGTGTTTTTGAATAGGATTTCTTTGGTACAGGACAGGAAACTCAGCTGTCGATTAATCCTTTAGTTTAAAATTCACCTTACCTTTGATGGTAAAAGAGTTCACCCTGCACAATTGGCCTAAACACTAATCCTAACATTCTTCATTGGCACAGCCATTTCACAGTGACTTTCCACACTACTAGCTAAATTGCTACACCATTTGCTTTAATTTACAAATTTAACCTTTGCAAATATTTGTATCATAAGGTGTATAGAACTGCCTGCAGCAGGGCTATCCAACTGTTTCCTTCAGCCAACCAAAGATGCTATAAAGGGATTTTTTATTAGTTTCCAGGTACCCAGTTTCTAGTAAGTACAGACTGACTTATTCTTTATTCCTTATTAATTACCAGTAATCTTTAAGAACTTTAAAAATTTTAATACATGGTGCAGAGTAAAATATAGGCAATACCAAAGGTTTTGGCGTTAGATGTGTCCATACCACTGAGATGATCTTGTTCCTGAAAGTTCAGACACCGAACGCAGGGAAAAAACAAAACAACTTCGACACTGGGAGATTATAGCCTTGGTCAGCAGCTTGTGCAATACATCAGAACTTTAATCCTAGGTCATGTTTTTGTGTAGAATCTATGCACTGGAACCTTTTTAAACTGACGTACGTTGAAACAAGCAACAAACCCTACACTTAGCCTGATCTCAGTGTTACTGATGAGATTCTGTCACATCAAGATTCAACCCTGCAAGGAATCCTTCACAGCAAGATCTATTTAACAGCTCCATTAGTGATTCATTAATATCTTTGTTGAAAACAGAGTCAAAGTTTCCGTTCACACGGGCTTCATTTTCCAGTTGAAAACTGCTCATTAAATCCTGTATCCACTTGATTTCCTCAGAAAGTTCCTGTCTGAGGGATTCATACTGGCTCTGCAGCTCAGCATATTTCCCGCACACACCTGCGAGGCTGGCGCCGACAGCCTCACTATCATCGTGCAAGTGCCTTTTCAGGGACTCCATTTTACGGTACTCATACTTCAGCTGGGACAGCATGTGCCTCACGCTTTCACTCTCTTCTTTATACCAAGCTTCTTTCTCATTATAAATGGAAAGCAGAGCATCCATGTCCTCCTGCAAGGAATCATGGGATGCAGCCAAGGTGCTGAAACCCTGCTCCACACGGGAAATGTCCTCTACAACGCGGGCAAAGCGCTCAAAGTTGATGTAGGTGTTGTTGGGGGGCATGCTCGAGTGGCACTTTATGGTGTACTCCCTCAGGCATTTCGTCTTCAGCTGCGCGTTCTCCACCTTCTTGTTTTCCTGGACTTTGGTTTCATCTTTCAGCTGGTGAGTCATCAGGCAGAGGAACCAATATTACTGAACACTTACAAGACTGCAGCAATTCAAAAACTCTACACAATGGATGCAGGGACAAAGGGCTTCCACAATGCTGGGAGATTCTTTGCTCACAAAGATTTTCCTTCATGCATTTGATTAAAAGAAACAAACACCAAACACGTAAGCCCAGAACTGAATGTGACAAGTGATGTGCTTTCATTCCAATGTGATAAGTCCAAACAACATGGCTGCAATTTATTTTCATGCTAATTTTTAGCAATTAACAGTGTCAAAGCTATCAATATTTGTAGGAGGAAAACCAACAAACCTAATACCACTCCAACTAATATTTTGTGCAATGCAAAGCAAAAACTGAATTTCAAAAACCCTCATTAGTCATTAGTCAAAAATCCTCATTAGTCAGCTAAATGTATTTTCAGTAAGAGACTTATCCACATAAGCAAGCAATGTTTATGATGAAAAAATACATACAGACACACAAATGTAAGCAAACCAGAACATAGGGTACACAGCAGTTCCCAGTCAACTCTCAATTCAAGAAAGCATGAAAGCCAACACACAGTATATGCCCATGCAAACAGAGAGGAATGGAAAAATGCAAAGCCCAGTCCAATATGGGATACTGTAATGTGCAATAAACATCAGAGCTTTGTTACTCTCTTTTTGCACGTTATCATAATAAAGGAAGTCATTTGCAGAAATCCAAGGATTTGGTCAGATCCAAGCAATTTCCTCCCTGTACATCTTTTTGAGTCACCCAGCATCACTTAGGGGGCAGTTTTCCATTTAACAAACCAGTAAGAGTGAGAATATGATCTCTGCTTTGCTCATGGAAAAAAAAAAAAAAAAAAAACAACCAAGATCTTTTTCTTTATTCAGTCTTACCGTTATCCATGGATGAGACAGAGCTTCCTGAATTGTAAGCCGCTTCCTAAAAAACAACAACACAAAAAAACCCAAAGACTTGAATGGTAAATACTTGGTGCAGAAGTCCATTGACCCACACTCTTCCCAGGCTTCCTATGAAGCCTTTATCAGGATAATTCCAGGAAAAACCCTCAAATGTCAAGGTTACGTTTCTCCCTGAGGCACACTGCTCGTGTGCAGTTTAGTTACTGTTCTGAACTTCAGTAGGCAACTGTCCTTACTCCACATAACTTTAATTCTTATTTCATCAAAATCTACCTGTAGTTTTGTGCACCCTTCCATAAAAGTTATACAACATTCCTTTGTTTTGTTCACCTGATGTGCTTAGAAAATACATTCTTGCTGTACACCTTTGATACATCTGTGTCTGAATCAACAGTAATTATACCAGAGGTAATCAACAGTAATTATACCAAAGCTGGTATACAGTATTACAGCACTGCAGGAATCTGCATAACTGTCACAAAAACCCTAGGTGACTGCCACAGATACAGAGACTTAGAACAACTCCATATCAGCACATGTACTGATCTTTCTGACATTGCACCACTGGGGGCATATTCTGGGATGGTATCACCTCCTTGGAAGTAGTTCATAAGAAACTGAAATGGTGGAGTGGTTGTTACCCTGAACTCAAGATTGTGCACATCATTTTCAGCCCTTCAGCTACAACCTATTGTACCAGCTTGACTCAGGTGAGAATTCAGTCCTGAACATGGCATTTAGCTGAGGAGATTTGGTTCCTCTTCTCAGGGTTTCTGGATGCAGTGATTAACTAGAGTCACAGCAGCATCCTCCTGCCTTGCTCTTGACTGGCAATACACACTGCAAGAAAAGCTTTTTCACTTGTCAAGCCACATTTCACCAGGTTTATTTTAGAGATAAATGGGTCTTTGTGAATATTTGCTTACCGTGTATCTTTCACCAGTAGTTTCTGAATAAAGTCTTTTGCCAGGTCACTAGTATTACTGAAAAATTCTTCATCAAAATCGTAATTCACAGCTGTGATGTTGGCAAGGGTTTCTTGTTTAGTTTCTCCAAGGAAAGGCGATGCACCACTAAGCCTACATAAGCCAAAAAGAGGAATCAGTTGGTAAAATAAATGACAGAAGTCCCCTAATGAAATGACTGTGACCGTAGAATATACTCTTAGAACATCTGTGCCTCTTGTGTTGAAGCAGCTCTGCCATGTAGGAAAAAACATGGCCAGCTTTGGCTCACTACAGATGTGGCTCACTTAGCTGAGCCAGACTTGCATTGAAAGTCTCTAGAGGAGCACTAATGCATGTACACAGAGAGGAATGCACAGATTCTCCTCTCCTGAGTGTCTAATTTAAGTCATTGTGAATCAAACTAGAAAAAGTTTCAGCTCAGGACAGTCTCTATCCCTGTGAACCCACAAAGACTACCAGGCTGCAGCTTCTATAACCTTCAAGTTGTAGTGTAGTGTTTCTATAGTTTTTCTTCAGGGAGGAAAAGCTCTGCCCCTACTTCTTTTCTCTCTGCAAAGCTGCTGATGAGTTCCCTGAACAGTGGGTTCAACCAAGAGACCTTTCTCAGCTGGAAGCAAAATACAACATATGACCAGAAGCCAGGCACATGGCCTTGCCTAGGAGCCAGCTCCACTGGAGAGGCAGGGCCATGCTGCTCAGTAAAAGGAATCCACAAGCAAAAGGGCTTTGGCTGCAATAAAATCCAACTGTTTCTGAACAACACAAAATTTCTTTCTCTTGGCACCCTGCTCCAACTGCAAGGATGTAATGGAGACAGCATCATAATAAAATGCCATTTAGCGAGCTTGACTTAAGAAAAAGGTTTCCTCCTGCTTTGCCCATCTCTCAGCTGTGATTGTCAGCCTTCATCTTTGATGACTCTGCACCACTGCTCCATAAAACTTGTGTCAGAACAGAGTTATCCCAGACCCCTCCTGCCCTGCCTTTCCTCCAGGCTCCGTCTCCCCCAACACAAAGAGATGCTGACTTGTAAAAGTCTGGTTTATGGGAAATGTCATTTATACCAAGGAGATTGATCTCACCCCTTTTCTTATAATCTTCTGGGCTATTATTGTGCTTATCTATTATGTCCAGCTTTGGTAACAGTTTCAGGATGCAGCAGGCTCAAAACAGGACTGCAGCAAACTCCAGGGAACTAAACTGAGGTTTTGAATACTAAACCATTTGCATACATGATTCCACTCTTAACAGACTTTTACGATGTCTGTATTGCCACCACCAGGCTGACTGGGAATATTGGGAGATAAGCAGAAAGTTAGATGGGACCACCCAAGCCTTTCAGCCCAATCTCCAGCTACCATTTTTGTTTTTATCCACAGAATAAACACTCAAGGAGGGGGGAGGAGAAGCATAAACTGCTTCCTCCCCCCTCTACAATCACATAATACCACCAAAGCATCTGACACAGGCAAGAGAGCATGAGTGAGGTCCTCCAGTTGTCATTGATGCAGTAAATTTCATCCCATAAACCACAGTCAGTCTCAATTCTTAAGGGGTTTTACATACGTTCTCTTAAACTTCGGTTCCCTTTCTGCTGGCTACAAATAGGCACCTCTCCACAGACCATGAGCTTTGCTCCAAAACTGAACCTTGGAAACCTGCCCTAAGGCCTTGGCTTCTTTTCCCTTTCCCCAAATTATGCCATGAAGCAGCTGTAATTCCACCTTCTGGCCCTTTGTTGGAAGCCAAAATCAACAGTCCTCTATTTTCTGATTTTTTTCTTTTTTTCTCTTTGGGACTCAGTTTTGAAATCTGTGAAATGGGAGGATTCTCAAATCTAATATCCAATGCAATTGGCTTTTGTCATATCCTGACTCAGTGCCTGTAAATATGTACCAGCAGACTCAGTAATAAAGGCTTTGCCCTTACAACTCACTGAATCACTGCAGAGTTACTGAATTGAGGACTTGGATGCATTTTGAACTCTACACCTGATGATGGCATCCATTTGATTGCTGCCACATGTGCTAAAGTAGGTGGTATCATAGACACACCCCAATTATTCAGAACACTTCTGAGCAAAAGGCTTTAAAATTAGGAGGCAATATGAGTTGAAGGCATGCAAATTTCTAGTCCATAGCCTATCATGCAAGCTGATCCCTCCGACTGTAAAAAGCATGCTCTTTTTTTCTGATCATTTGCATGGAGACATTTTTCTACCTTAATGACAACAACAATCATTAGTAGCCAAGCAGGTAAAACAGATCTCCTGTGCTGGATGCAGTACAGGAACCGCTCCCTCACTCTGTCCCAGCACAGACCCCTCAGTGTAACAGGAAGACCTGAGGAGCAGCTGGCTCTGTGCATCACTGATCACATTCCCACCTGCTGCTTGACCTCAACTCCTAAGTTTTCCTCTCATCAAATAGGAACACCCATTTTCCAAACTCACAAAGTTTAATGTCCTGCCAAGTACAGGTGTGTCAGTGCAGATCAGAGTGCTGACAAAAAACAAGGGTCTGGACAGTATTTTAAATCCCTTTACCTGAGCTTGGGTTCAACCAATACCCCAAACTTTTCTTTGTACTGTAGAAAAGGGAATTCATTGCACTGAATCTGATTCCTCAGACCCTACCTCTCTTTTACAGCTTGTGGGGTCTAACCCTTATGCATAGGACAAGATTTATTTTCCACACTGAAAAGACAATCCTTCCCCTTCAAGCCTCTGTACTTGTCTGATGCCTGGAATGTGTAGTGCAAATCCATCTAATACAGGAGTCCACCTCCTTCAAGCCTGGCAGCAGGTTATTCCTCTGAGAATCACAAGGAACAGCCAAAGCCATGGGTGCGACATTCCCAGCAAGCAGTGTCCACTCCCTGCTCCCCAGGAGTCAGAGGGTTTCGATGGAAGTAGTTAGGATCAAGGATCACTGACCACTCCTGCAATTCTCACGTCAAATGAGAGGAAAAGCAAGGAGTGCTGTTCCTCTGTTGCATGCATCCATTGTCACACAAGCAGTTTCCCAAGTTGTCGAGCTCCATCTTAAAACTCTCAACTGCTTGTCCTCAGATGCCCACAGAAACTCATTTCTTTGAGAGCCTGAGCATATCATAATTCCCTCCTTTTATTTATTCACCACCAGCTGACACACTTTTCTTCTAAAGAGAATATGTATCTAAACAGTATTCTGAGATCTAGTTTTCCTTTATGCTACTGCCTATACTGATCTCTCCAACCAACCTTTGCTTTACTAGCTTTAACAAACACTTTTTTTTCTCCTGTAAGTTGAATTCTCAGTTTCCAGGGTCAACTTCTCTGCTCCTCTTTCAGCTTAAATTCACCTTTTTGAAATGGGTGACCTTACTTATGCATAATAATCTAGACTGCTGCTTTTACAAGCAAATAAAAACTTCACTGTTTCCACCTGAAATAATCCAACTTGTAAATGGGATTGTTACACTTTCTGTTTCTATGCTCTCACGCTGGTAGCTCACAGTCATTCCAGGAGCTATTAATCCTCTAGGCTTTTCCATCCTCTACCGCTCAGAACTGATGAGATCCCATAAAATGCAGAAATGCCCAGTGATACCAGGGACATTTGTTTTTCTCCTGCTCAGAATGCCCCTCATCTTTTACTCCTTATTGTAAATTGAAAAGGCTGTGGGTTAACCCCTGTCCTTTACACAAACCCCTGCCCACTGCATGTGTGCAGGTCCCTAAATGGCTGAAGGGAAGAACTGTTCTGTGCTAGTGCAACTGACCTTCAGGAACGTTTCTACAGGACTGAATCTGTTGTACTCACAGTATGTAGGTGATGACTCCTATGCTCCTAAAAAACAAAGGAGATTAGTTGCAGGGGTTCTACATGACCAGTATTCTTCCTAATGTGCAGAACGCACAACAGTCAATAGCAGCTGCAATAGAGGCAGGAGAGCCATTGTGACTTTAGACAACTGCTAACATCTCTTACAGAACGGGGTTTTGAGGGCACAAATAATTTTACATATAGCATCAAGTAATGTGGCTATCGGAAGCCTCTGTGTATTTCTACTCAGTGGGTACTTACTACAGTGAGTAGAAGTACACGTCTATGAAACACAGAGCAGCAGAAACAGGATGTTTGATTTGGGGTGACCTCTTTTCCCTGCCTTCCAATTACACAGGTCTCCTCTACATGAAGGGCTCTTATAAATAAAGCTGTCACAAGCTCTGCAGGAACACGTTTCCTTCTCAGAGTGCTCCTCTGCATGGACAGTGGCAAACAGTTAACTCTGGAACTGCCATGACTCCAGTTTTTCAAGGTAATTTTGCAGAAATTAAATGTTTATCTTTTAATTTAAAAGAATATATAAAAACAGAATGATAGAACAAAGACTCATTAACTGTGTTTAAGTCTTTGTTTTGTTTTGGTTTTTTTTTTAATTTGTTGTGGTGCAATGGATTCTATTAAGAGCAAAATAGGAAAGAGTAATTGTACAGTAACCAGGAAAAGAAAGCACAAACACATTATAAAACTTACCACATGTCTGCAGCTAGTCCAAGTGGTTCATAGTTTACGATTTCTGGAGCTGTAAGAAACATTTAATCAAACAGCAGCAACTGAGGTATCAAATTTTTACCAGGCTGGAGTAGCAGGCCAAGAATTACCAAGAGGGAGAAAGGGGAAGAGGGAAAAGTTAGTTACAGAATACAATGTTTATAATTTTACAGCCCCAGTAGGAGTTCAAGTTCACAGCTGTTCAGAAGAGATTATGTAGAGTAATTTGGAGCATAATGCCACTCAAGAATAATGGTAAAACAGACATTTTATAGTAATTATACTGCAAATTACAACAAATAACAAATTATTTCACCTCCCAAGAATGCTGCTGCCCCTAAGCATGAGCTTTTGTTTTGTTTCTTAAGTGGTGCCATTATAGCAACTTTGTAAATGCCAGTCAGAAAGAGCCCTTGAGCAAGAGATTGAAATTACTCACCAGACTACACTGCTATCCATGTCAAACTCTATTATCTTTATAAGAAACATTTCCTCATTGGAAAACATCCCTATGTAAGACTGCATGCAAGAGAAAAGAGCAAGGGTGAAATAAGCTGAAAAAATTATCTGTGACATCTGTGTTTAACTGGAATATTAATTACAATTCTCTACCCAGTCCCCAAACTCCAAAATAAAAACTAATAGAAAGTAGCAGGATTAACCTAAAGTCCAGGCGAGACAGATTAGAATTATGACCAGTGAAGAACAAAAAGAGAACCACATGGAAAAATGTAAGGGGAGATGAGGGTACTCAGCAGGTATACAGTGTGAGGTGTGTTTATTTACAAAGCAATGACAGATACCCATGTAACTGTGTACTCATGTATCACAATGCAGAGATCTACTTACCCCAGGCACCAAGAAAAAAGACTATCATTTGTATACACAGAGCTTCACAATCTCAATCCTGAATTTACATCTCTAAATATTTATTTGGCAGCAGCTAATCTCACAGGAGTAGCACATCTGGTTTACAGAAAGCACCTTTGCTTACTCCAGAAAAATAATGTAAACCTCTAGATTTAAGTGGCCTTGACAGAAAAAAGATTAAAACTACTTCTATCCCTCAATTTTTAACTCTTGACAAGATGTCTTGACTTCCTCTGAAATTTGCAATGTAAGACAAAGGAACATGTCACTCACCTACAAATTCCGGAGTTCCAAATATATTTTTAAATTCAACTCCATCTTCTATTTTGTGAGCCAGGCCAAAGTCAATGAGTTTGATGTGTGGAATAGGGATATTCTTGTCTAGAAGCATTATGTTTTCAGGCTAAAAATGACAAAAGATATTAATATCTTGGAAAGTAACAGAGTTTTCAAATTATTTTTTTCCTTTGCATATACATCATCATAGAATAAGAAAAATAACCCTGTGCTTAGCCATTTACAGTTCTTTTGATTGAGGTAGCAGGCAGCTGAAGCAGTTCAGGTGTTTGCAGATAAAATGCTACTGCCCAGCTCCGAGTGAAAGAGCCCTTGAGCAAGAGATTGAAATTACTCACCAGACTACACTGCTATCCATGTCAAACTCTATTATCTTTATAAGAAACATTTCCTCATTGGAAAACATCCCTATGTAAGACTGCATGCAAGAGAAAAGAGCAAGGGAAGCCAATGGAAGATAATTTGGTAAATGCTGAACCTATTCAGGGAAGGAAAAAGCAACTAACTACTCTGAGAGACTAAATTCACAGCTGCAACAAAGCCAGGAAAAGATTCAGGATTTACCAGCTGAACAATCCAGAAAATGCAAACAGTTGGGATCAGAGGTCCTAGATCATACCAAGCTAATAAAAGAACATGTGGCATTCTCACAGCATTGTAAGAAAAACCTGAAGCGTGAACTGTGAAATCAAAACTAACATGTTTAACCACACACTTTACTTTTCTACCAGATCCAACATATTTAATAAAGTCCTTTCTTCAACTAAATTTCTCAGCCTTAGCTACTCCCTACCATGGACCGAATTCCCAGGTTTCAGAGTAAACTACGGGTTCAATTTATCTCCCATGATGAGCTTTAATGCATTAATCTGTCATAACTTAATCATAACTTCAAGGGCAGCAATGAGAGAGTCAGATTCCCTGCTGGCAGCTGCCTGGCTTTTCCACAGCAGAATCTAACGTGGAAGTTGCTCCTGCTAACACATTCTCTCAGTCAGAGCTGCACTGGAAAACAGAGCATATGAATAATTTATTCTCACAGTCATTGGACCAACCATGTTTTAGCCTCAGGGTAACAAGCCTGGTTTTCTTTCATCAATCTAGGGCATATATGTTCACCACAGACACATAAGGTAAGCTTCTTTAGAACAGACTGATAGAGAAAAAGTCACTGTCACTACCTCTTGGAGCACTGTTTTATTCCTTAGGTGGTATAAACCATTATAGCTTCACTGCAGGCAATGGAGCCCTGTCAAGTGATGAGATAATAATGAACCATCCTCCATCTGATCAGATCACTGCTTAAAAATACATCTCTAATTTAACACTTGCTAAACTCCACACCCAGTCCTTTAAAACCAGGAGAGTTATTAAGTGAATATATAATAGGTCATTTGACAGTCACTGTCACTTTAATGGTTCTTTACTTATGCTTTCTGATTCCTATCTTGCAATTCATGCAACATCTTCAGTGACCACCTAACCTTACCTGTATTAAATACCAAAATTAGCAGCTACAGCTCAGCCAAAGCCTAAATCAACATCTTTACCTTTAGATCAAAGTGAGCAATTTTCTTAGAGTGAAGGTAATTCACACCATCCAAAATCTGCTTGATGAACCTGGTTGCTTCCTCTTCACTCAAAGACTCCTTCTGTGCCAGGAAGTCAAAAAGTTCTCCTCCAGAAACCCTGCAAAACACATCAAAAAACAGCCTGTTATCTCCTGCACTGTAATCCACAACATAAATGCAAGCAAACTAAAACAGCAAAGAACCTCAATACAGGTCTTTGGGGAATCGTTCCTCTGACCCCAGGCTCCCACAGAACACTGGTGGTGACCACATGGTGATTCCCTACTCTGCCTCTTTCAAAGGAAGCTACTGTCAATAGCTGCACAACCTGCAAGGACAAGTCCACTGCAAGCAAGAACAGCACGTCCAAAGCCACAAAGACATTGGGTTTGTGTCTTAGCTTCCTCTGCTGGTCCTGTGGAGGACAAGGTGCCTTGTAGTTCCAGACTTACACTGGGCATAGTGACTTGCCCATGGATTACTGGATATTTTTTTCACACCTCTCACATTTTCAGAAACTTTTCTAACCCTTTGAGGCAGGACTCTTCACCTGGGCAGAAGTTACCTCCCTTCACCTAGGCAGAAGTCACTTTATGCTTTAATTGTTATAACTAAATGCCTGGCAAACAAAAATAAGCTTATATCACCCAGAAATATGTTGCAACTGCTATCTTTAGCTGCCACCTTCTCCTTTCTATTAGTCTCAGTTATTCAACCTGTGAGACTGTTACTTCATCTCTTGATTTTCTTTTCTAGGTGACACCTGCCAAGGATCTCAGCACTACCATCAGCCTTTCTGGACAGGTTTTGCTGTATCCTGTACAACAGAGAACACGGTCTCTTTCCATATCATAGTAAGTTTAGAGGCCTTTGTTCAGTAGTACACCAATTACTAGAGACTACTGTGACAAACCAGTACAGAAATCTGTAAGAAAAACCTGGTAGTCTCTTGGTGAAATATGTGTACAGTGAGCAGGTGACTCCCAGTTATTTAATGATTTCTATTCAGAGTGCACTTAAGCAATCACCTCTGGCAGACACTCCATCCAGGCATCAGGAAGCCAGCTGGACCGGGGTATGTTCTTGTACTTTTCTGGAATGTAACCATGTATGCACACTGTTCTCTCTTTCTCTTTTGCCCTGCAAGATCTCCTTGGTGTTGGTTTCTTAAGCTGGACTCTTTAATCTCCCTGAGGCCAGACGACAGCCCCAGCCCCAGTCCTGCAGAAGCAGGCTCCGCTTCAGGAGAGCTCCCAGGCTGAGCCACTTGAGCAGAGCTGTTCTGCTCTGCTCAGGGTGTTCAAGGATACACCTTGGTACACCAGCCTCCTCCTGCTTGGAGGAGACTGGCAACTGCCTTCAGAGCAACCTGCTTTGCTACACAAGCAATGACAGAAAAAGTTCAGCTGCACAGACTGGAGCGACTTAATTCTCATTCTCTCTTGCTGCCTCCAACAGTGGGCACTTAAACTAGCTGGGTCATCTGCCCAGGGCACACCAGGGAGTTTGCCCCAATGGCAACCTCACCAACATTCTGGGAAACCAGCTATGCCCAAGGCATGACTGAAGAAACTGCAGCCTGCAAGAACAAGGATCACAGGATATTTACTTGAGAGCTCCTTGATGTATTTACCCAATTCTCTTTAGTTCACACTAACCTTGAATGATGCTAGGGAGGGGGCTTTTAAGCTACAGAATACAACATAAAAATAAAAGAAACAAACAAACAAACAAAAAGATTTAGAGAGCTCAAAATAAAGTTTTGTTTATCAACAAAAGATTCGCTTCTACAATAACCACATGAGCATTTAATTTCCTGAAGATCAGAGATGGGCATACATGAAAAACACTATATTAATCTCCAGTCTCTTGAGGTATAGCCTAACACATAGCCTAAGCTGTAGAGATCTCAAAAGAGTAATTTAAAGGAAAACTCAGTAGAAGAGATGTGATTATTTCCAATTAACAAAGACTCAGGCTTTAAAATCAGGCCTCAGTAAACTGTACCTAGAGAGTGGTAGGCGGTTTACTTACAAGATCATTCTTATCCAAGTTATACACCTGAATTCAAAGAAACCCACAATCAAAAGAGATTTAGCAATCCCAAAAGCAAGACATTATGGAATCCCAGAAAAAAACCCACACTTCAAGCACTAATTCCTTTGCAGTAAAACACTCATAACTGCATCAAGTTACATATCAGCCGGAGAGGTTTGTTTTCTAAATCAACACCTGCAAATGGTCACTTCTCAGCTGTTACAGAATTCCTTCCATTTCTTTCCCTTTTACCATTTCACCCAATATCATGGCAAGGAAATGATTGCATGATTGTTTTACTTTTCCTTCGAAGTCCAATGAAAGACAAACAATGCTGCCTTACTTCTTGGACAGAGCTGTTTTGTATACACAACCCTGACACTTACCTGTAGAGAAGACACTGGTGTATCAATCCAACCTGCCTCCAGGCTGCTTCTGCTTGGGCAAAGCAGGTTTCAGGCAGGGCCCAGACACAGAGAACAACAACCCCACAGAAAGGTGGGGGGGCAAGTCCCTGGACAATGTACAGAAGGAAAGAGAAGCCGTGTACCTGCCAGACTGTCACAGCAATGGACCTGGCACTCCTCTTGAACAGGAGAACCAGCCCCTGCAGAACTGACCTCTCTGAAAAGAGGAGATGGTTTTTCCAGCACTGTGAGTATGTGAGAAAGTCAACATTTCAGACAAATCCTCTTTTAAACACCAGGACAGCTTCTTCAATTACCCAACAATACTGGGGCCATTCTTTTGAAGCTGAAGTTCACTGAAGATTACCATAAGATTGCTTGGCCAGGTGCTGTTACACTTACTTTGATAAACAGCAGGGAATATGAGACTCTGAGAGCAGGGTATCAGAGAGGAAGAGATTTTCTGTTTACAAAGAGAATTTAATTATCTTTATTAGCAACTATCATCATCCTCAATTTGTATACAGCAGCTGAATGCAGAGGCCTTTATCAGGTCAAATTTCTGTTGCATGCAGAAAATTGCAAACTGCAATATGTTACAGCCTGACAAAAGAACACACAAAATATATCAGGCCACATGAGGACAGGAAAAAGCAGAAGGTAATGAAACAGGAGGTTGCTTTAGCTCAGGGTAGTCACCAGTGAGAAAAAGTGAGTTCTTTCCCTGTCTTCCTGAGCTTGGCTACAGAGACCAACATTTGGCCACAGACATACACTTCAAAGTTAACAGATGCTCATCATCACTCATATGCCATCTCCCAGCAGTCACACTAATCTCCAGGAATGCTCCCTGACCTAAATGCTGGCTCCCCTAGAGAGCTCCCTCAGGGATAAAAGCCTTGTTGGCTGGATTCCATGCACAAGGTCCAGGCTGGTGTCCTAGGGAATATATGGTCTACCTCACTTCAAACATGGTGACTGTATTTCCTGCCCCATACACACTGAAAAATTGCATCACTTTGCATGTAGGGGTGAGGAGGTCCACTTGTCAGCAGGACCTAAATGGCAGTGGTTTGCCCCCCTCATATGGTGGCACAAAAGTAAACAGCTTTTCTTCATTCCCATCCTGCTGCTATTCATCCTCAACAGTAAATGCCAAGGGATTAAAAAAACTTCTTCCCTTGCCCTCCTCCCATTTACTCGTCTAGCTGATCTAAATGAGGAAAATATGGAAGTAATGAGAATGGCTGCGAATTTTGCAAAAGGCTTGATGGCCTCAGATGTAGTGAAAGAGATGAAACCAGGAAGAAAAATAAAATGAGCATTCAGCGGCCACTTGCACTTCCTCCAAGGTTTATCTCAGGGCAGCCCTAGGCAGACATGAGGCAATCTCTCCCTTAGTAAACTGTTTTCAAGTTGACAAGATTCCCTGGCTCAGTATCAAATTCCCTCAGCTAATGTTCAGGTGCACCTGTATCCCCAGGGCACATGGATGAGCTAGGGAAGCTGCTCACCACCAACCTCACTCAGTGCTCCTGACGAGATTTGTGAGGCCCAAGAATGCAACAGCTCCTTTTATCAGCGCCCCTGTGCTCCGGCAGCCTCTGCAGTGCTCTCTGGTTTCTATTCACCTCAGCCATCTCTGCAGGGAAGAGCCCTTACTCACAGCTCCAGGATGAGGACCACGTCTGTCTTGTTCTCATAGATGTCATGCAGCTTGACGATGTTGGTGTGCAGGACCTGCTGCAGAATGGTGACCTCGCGCGCAATCTCCTCCCGGCTCACCCCACGCCGGCTGGCCCGGCTCTGCCGCTTCTTGATGAATTTGGCAGCGTATTCCACCCCTGTGGTTTTCTCTCGACACTTCTTCACTATAGCAAACTGGCCACTGCAAGGACAAGGGGACAACAAAAATGCTCTTAAGGCTTTTACATGACAGATTCCCAAATAAGCCAGTCCCATACAAAGCCTGATCCTGTAAGCCCTGAGCAGCACTGCTGAGCATTGCTAAGCTTGTTCTTGGTACAAGAGTGAGGACTGTCAGGACTCTGCAGTCAAAGGTATTAGAGCTTAAGAAGGTAACCTCCTACTGTGTCTGAAATTTAGCAAAACCAAACAATGATTGACAAAAGGAGTTTAAACCTCTAAAAACAGTTCATGTTTAAATGAGTAAGATCTGCCTCAAAAGGTTCAAGTTACCACTACTTCACTCGGTAATGCTTAAGACATTCAAGTCTGCAACACACCACTGGGTGTACTGAAAGAACACACACACATTAAAATATTTGTCTTAAGAATAGTCCCTAGAGAAGAACTCAGATGAATGATAACTCTTTGGAAATGCAAAACTGGCCTCCAGCATACAATTTTCAAATTTTTAAAAAATTGTTTATTCATATTTATGCATTCACTTGATAATTTGGCTGTAAATATAACTAGAGTAAGTGCAGGTTTCTCACTGCACCTTAAGGACAAAGCATTTCCCACTGTACAAAATAATACAGTGGCTGCATTAAGGCTAAAAGGCATGTTCTTGCAATTTGCTAATAAAACATTTTCACTGTGGCTCCTAATGTACTCCAAGTGCAAAAATCCTGCCTTATCTCCTAGGAATTGGCAGCTCTCCAGTCCCAGAATACACATTTAGTATCAGATACTTCCTTATTCAGGACATTATATCCAAACTTGGAAGGAAAAGACTCATCTTTCAGGCAACCATAACCTTTGGCTACTGTGATTTTATCAGATAGGATCTCTCTATAAGAATCACAAACAAACTCATTAAGTGCATCCCCCCATGACTACACTGTATAAGCACTGAGCTGATGTTTTCAATATTATTATATCATTCACTAGCTTGGTAAAAGAAGAATACAAGTACAGTTGGTACTTAAATTATGCAGCATACACAGCAATTATATTCAGCACCTCATTAGGTGCTGTACTTAGTGCTTCATCAAAACAGACATCTGACTGGAGTCTGTCTTAAAAATACAAAGGCATAGGAATTAAAAATTAAGGCTGTCACTTGGAGCTCTCAAAGGCTCCCACCCTACAGCAGAGGCAGCCTCTCATTTCAGAATTCAAACAAATGCCAGGCAGCCTGACATACTTCTTTTAGTCTTTCATTTTCATATATATCCTAAACCCTTCCCAGGAGAGAGGCAGGAACAGATGGGACAAGTGTACTTATCCCTTTAGGAATAATCATTCACAAATGGAATCGAGACCGTGGCCATTTGTCACATGCTTTAATTCATTTATATTTCCCCTGCTTTTATCATTACCTGCAAACTCTAGAGAAATTCCCACAGCAGAATTCCCAAACTTGCCTTAAGCATTCTACTAAAAGAGTTTGTTTTGTAGTGCTGAGAGCTGCTTGTGCAAAATGTCATGACTTTCATGTTTTTTCTTGTTTGCTTGAGCATATTTTGCAAGACATGCATCTTGCTTGGTTCTGACTTTCTGAAGAAACATGGTATTAATGTTCCTGTGCTTGTTTCCTTGAATTCTCTCTAGGGATAAATTTTGTCAAAGTTCAGGAGAAAATATTTTTTATGAGTGCTGATTATGGGAACAAACACAGTCACTTTTGCATTTAGAAATTCCAGTGATACTGTGGATTTTGTACATTTCTGTTGATGCAAAAGCTTACAAAAGTAATAATGACACAGCATAGGAATTTCTGTCTTCATTCTGCTGTAATCCACTATTGCTCCCCTGCATGTGTGGCCACCAACACACACTGTTGCTGCTCCTGTCCCAGCATTCATACCATTTTCCATCTCCCTTAAAAACAGGCTTTTGCAGACAACTCTTCAGTTTGGGATGAGGAGAAGAGGTTACAAGTGACAGGGAAGGATACAAATGCTCAATTTCT